AATAAGGTATTAAAAAAATCTTACTGTACCCAGAATTTTGAACAGTAGTATGCAAAATGACGAGAATATTAATAACCTGGCATTACACTTACTTCTCATGGAGTGGATAAAGATCACTGTGTAGATTGTGTTCGGTACTGACTCTCCTCTGATACAGTATTCCTGGAATAGATTAAACATAGCACCTGAAGAATGTTGCAGGATGGGACTAATGAATGAAATGTGCATATGAATAAGCTAGAATCGAAAACAGAATATTTGAGTCCTGTCTGTGGTAAATTTTCTGAATGTCATAAATTTGATTTAGATTAACTGTATTCAAACATGCTATCTCCTCGCGTGAATGGTGGTTAGTAAGAAATACTCCTGTAAACAAAATCAGGTTAAATGAGTGCATCTTACTGAAAATGAAGCTGAAAATTACTCCAAAACTCCAGTTTAACATTTAGTTTGATACATGGAAAGCATCCCAGTTTAATTCTGATAAAAAGTGCTAAAAACACCAGAAATACTTTTATTGCTTTAATGTAACTGTATATATTACCTGGTGCATTTTGTTCCATTTTCATCTGCCTTGCATAGCAGAGAGCGATTGCACAGTAGGGTACAGGTAACCTAACTAAACTTTTCAAGCAAAAATACATTCTTCGATATAGATCTTCTGGAATAAATACAGACTGAAATAAAGCAGAAAACCCGATAAGTAACATGCATCACGCATGGCTGAAAAACAAACCAATCATGTTGATTTCCAGTTAAGATACAAGGAACTGTTCCTGCAATAACAAATCTGTCGGGAACTTGCTTACAGATGCATTCCGTATCACTGACTGGAAACAACAACAAAACAAACAAAGCACTCGCAGACGCTGCAGAAAAAAACGAAGCTAGAAATCTGACCTGTAGGACTGTGTAGACAAGTGTGTGAAGTAAAGGAATAATGCGAATCTTGGAATCGATTCTCTCCGCCTGGAATAAATCAAATCAAAGGAAAAACCAGCTAATCATTCACTGTAAAAATCTTTAGATGTTCTGCACACATCTTTGATGTCTATAACGTGAAAGAATAATTGAGGAACAAACCTTTTCAAGCTCTTTTATGAGAACCCTCAGAAGAGGGACACTGACAGATGGATTTTTGTCCATCCTGTTATGCAGAGTCCATCTCAACATGCCTACAAAAAAAAAACTTTTTTTAAACAATATGTAACAATACAACATATAAACTTGAATTGTGTACTTTTTGGTGCTTTTTGGTCTTTTTTTGGAGCTTGGCAGATGTGATTATGATAAACTGTCATATGGAGCTCAACAAGAAAAGTCTTCAAAAATGCTTAGCATACAGGTTTGGAGCGATAGAGCATTTTTGGGTGAACTCCTCCTCTTAAAGGTGGGGTATGTATTTTTTCAAAAATGCTTTAGAAAACTAGTCGAGTCGGGCCGAGTACCAAAACAAACTTGTAGCCAATCAGCAGTAAGGGGCGTGTCTACTCATGATGTGGAGGAGAGAGCGCTCAGTGCACAGGATGGACATTAGCCGAGCCGAGCGACGACAGAAAGATAGAGATGACAGATAAAAAACAAAAGAGGAAAATGTCTGTGGAACAAAAGAAGGCAATAAGGCAACAAGTAGGACCCGTGTAAATATCGGATCAGCTTTCCAGCGCTGGAGAGAACTCAAGGAGCGGAAGGCCTGCGATCGGACGCAGAGGTTGCTTTGTTTCTTCTCGATAGGTGAGTAACACTGTGTAACATTTGTTTTGCTTTGTTTCACAGAACTAATCGTTGCCTTCAACATTGGCTACCAGAAATCACTTACCCCACCTTTAAACAAGGGAATAGCATATTTTGTTTCATATATCCAGATTTCAAACACATGATATCTTCAGGCTATATAACACATTTTAAAGATATCAAATGCATAGATTTGTATTACCTTTTAGTTTAGATTGTCATAGTAAATCAGGTACCTTTATTGCAGGCTGATCCAGCCTGAGGTTCACAATCCAGCTCTCGGAGGATGGAATGGACATTGTGGTAGAGACTAGACTCCATGACTGAGGACCCGCCACCGACTGCAAAACACAGCTCCTTTAATCCTCATGTAACATGAACAATTCAGTTTGAAAACTTCTGTCATTAATTAGCAGATTTAGACTTTTATGAAGAAGTATAAATATATACACTACTGTTTAAAAGTTTTGGGTCAGATGTTTTAAGTCTCTTATGCTCACGAAGGCTTCATTTATATCAGGGGTGGCGAACTCCGGTCCTGGAGAGCCACAGCCCTGCAGAGTACCGCTCCAACCCTAATTAAAACTCACCTGCCTGTAGCTTTCTGGTAACCTTTCAGACCTTGATTAGCTTGTTCAGGTGTGTTTGATTAGGGTTGAAGCAAAACTCTGCAGGGCTGCGGCTCTCCAGGACTGACGTTCGCCACCCCTGATTTATATGATCAAAAATACAATAAAAATAGACTTAATGCAAAATATCATTACAATTTAAAATAAAAATTGTCTATTTGAATATATTTTAAAGTGTTATTTATTCCTGTGATGCAAAGCTGAATTTCAGCATTTATGCATGAACAGTAATGTACTATAGTAATATATGGTACTATAGTTAACTCCCATAGTTTACACTATTAAATAAATATTATGCAATGGTAGGTGAATTAAACTACTAAAATGCAAGAAATCCAGACTATGATATACAACTGAAATAAACTTAAAGCTTTGACCATTTTAATATCAATATCAAACCCTCAGAAAGAATGTTTCCGTGCAATAATAAAACTGATGTAATGTATGAAATGGAACTCAGTAATCTATAACAGACTAGCAAGTGTCAGGAAAGTGTGTTTTTAGTACATGTTTCTTCCATGGTGGGGTTCACAGCTCAGATAATATCCACATGACATGGATGAGTCAGTTAGAAAGGTCCTTCATGTCTGCAAGCACAAAAAAAGTACAGTCAAACCAAAAATTATTCAGACACCAGATATCATTTTTTATATTTTTTTTACTAGTGGGTGCATAGAGCGGATATGTCAGCTGTAGTCATACAGCGGACTACCAGTACATTTGATAAACATTTGGGACCAAAAATTATTCAGACACTTTGACCTGACCATGTTTTGCTTAAGTGTTATCTGACATTATCAAGATGAATTTGTTCTGACACAGTTTAACTCTGAGTTCTTGTCATATTTTATTACCATTTTCTAAACTATAGCCAATAAACTGTGACAATGTGTGAAATGTTGAAGGTGTCTGAATACATTTTGGTTTGACTGTATCACAATGCACAGAAAACTTTAGAATGAACTTGATAACACGATTACTTTGGCATGATATACTTTTTCTGCATTTTATGCCCATTTCCTGCATTGAGATTACAGTGTGTCGATATAGAAAGCACAACACGGATGCAGAAAAGACCCTACAGTTCTTGGCACAGGAAGCAGAATTCAAAGGGGTGAAAACCTCAGGGGTTTTCATGTTTTGAGAGAAATGTTGTTATTTCTCATAAATCACGCGTTAGACATAACTATATATTTTCATGTAACAAATGAATGAGCATAAAACGCATTAACGCATCAGTGATTCTCAATAACAGGCCGCAGATCTGTTCTGATAGGGTCGTGAATGGCAGGGCAAAAAAACGATGTGAAATGCAAATAATAAAATACAATTAATCACACGATCTTGCACAGGATAGCAAAATAAACAAACAACACTTCCCATATCTTTTGTTGCTCATGTCAATGACTGTACGGTACTTTGCTTTTAATGACTAATGCTGATACAATACTTAACCTAATGTTTGTTCTGTGTGTTCAACTAGTAAATCACACTCTCGTTGTTTATGCAGTTCTTTATTTTTATAATTTTGCATAGTGTTGGGCCTATACAGTTTATCGTACTAATAAACTTCATGTGTGATTTTAATTCAGTTTAATTCACTTTTATTTGTATTGCGCTTTTCACGATACATATCATTTCTAAGCAGCTTTACAGAAAATGACTGGTTCTACATTACAATTAAGAGTGATCCATATACACAAGTATCCACAAGTATTGTCCACATGGTAGAAACGTACAGTTCTAAGATTATACAAATTATGCAGCTAGTTAACGTCACATATTCATTTATAAGTATTAATTTATTTTAAGGTTACTTCCCTATACTAAGCATTTTACCATTGCATTGGGTCGCCACTTGATGTCCAACTGAGAACAACTGCACTAAACAACCTTATTTTTCTAATTTCGACACTATGCAAAGACAGAAACAAATACTTCTGCTTTCTTCCAACCAAAAAATAGTAAATTTTAATAAATTATTCTTTGATTATTGTTGTATTATCCACACAAAAATAATATGCAAAACAAAAATGCACAGTAAATTCCTACCTTCTATGCATAAAACCGCTGTTCCAAGGAACTGTGAGACTGTGGTAATCCAGGTCCTTGAGCGAGAGCAGAAGGTATTTGAATAATCTTGACAACAGTCTTGCTCATAAGGAAGTCTCTTTTCCTGTCAGATCATCTGTATGAATGCCTGTACCTGTGCTAAAAGGAAGAAACAGGCACTTTACTGCCTAGACATTCAAATGCTGTCTTTCTCTCTCTTACAAAGACAGACTGAAGACCAGGCTCAGTTGGTTTCCTGCAATACAAATATGTGGCTAAATGAAGCTAAGCGGATATTTTTAGACTGTCGTTTTTTTCACCTTTCACCAGCGTGCAGAGCAGAAAGGCCCACATCGCTCAGAAACTCATGCTTGTCACACACTGCAGTAAATCACCTCATAGTAAGCTGTGGTTTTTAAATGCAAATAAAAGGACATCACACCTTTATGGAGGCCAGAACTTGAGCTCCCCCCAATATTGCATTTGATATGAACTGAAAAGAAAAGAGAACTGCAAGTGAGTGATATAATGATCCAGTGCGTAATCTGACTATATGATAATAGCATACATAACCAATACAGATCATTTACAGGGCCAACGACACAGATGACCCCTGATGAGGAGTTTCAGAAAAAAAATAATGAATGAATCTATGAGTAATGAATAAAGAAATCTTCAGTGTCATTCAGACATTCATCAAAAAAGGATGTGGTCATTCTGGCTTCACTATACTGACCAATTAAGTGCTTACAGAAACAGAATTGAGGACAATGGTGAGTTAAATAATTACCCACATGGTGATTTCAAACATCTGAACCTCCTGTAACAGGTTTCAGTCACGTAATATTTAAAATTTGATCTCTACTAATCAATGACAAGAGATAAAATCTCCCTAAATGCCTCCTATGACCAACTCAAGTGGCTCCATGCTGAAAAAAAAGAGGCTAAAACCAGCCTAAGCAGGTTGGCTGGTCTTAGCTTGTTTCTGGTCTCCCAGCCTGGCCAAGCTGGTTTTAGCTGGTTGGACCGCTGGACTCCCAGCATGGCCAGCTAAAGAAGTGGTCAAAACCCCTTTAAAACAAGCCTGCAAACCAGCTATAACCAGGCTGGACGACCAGCTAAAACTAGTCAACCAGCTTACATGTACATGATGTCTGATTTTAAGTTATTTAAATTTGGTCCAATATTGACCAAGAGCTGTTCAATTTAACATTTTATACACTCAGTCATTTCTGTACTATGAACTCCTTTTTGAAATCATGTTTAATTTATATCATAGCCTACTTCTTTCCTCTGAACGAATACTTCAAAAATGATTGTGAGCAACATTTTTTTTTACTTTAATAAATATATTATTTTTTAACACAAATATTGTGAATGTATAGCCTAAACTATTTTAGTGTAGTGTTTTATATTTAATGTTAAAAATGAATACAACAGCATAGTACGGTGGCCGTGAAGTGCAAAACAAATCACAATTCTGAAAACAAAATCACAAATTACAAACGCAAATGCAAGTCTAAAAAACAAAATAACAATTCAGAAAGCACAACAACAATTCAGAAAACATTATAACAAGTCAGAAAACACAATGACAAATTCGAAAACAAACTAACAAGTCAGAAAACACAATGACAAATCCGAAAACAAATTAACAAGTCAGAATCGCGTCAAAAAGCCAAGGGCACGCACATATCCATCTGCGCCATTGGATCTGATGTTTTACAATCACTTTTAACTAAATGTAAATAGACACCCCGTATTTTTATTCCATAGTAAGGGCAATTCATACAATACATTTAAACTGAGCTACTTTAATACCATCTCCGAACTTTCTACCACGACTCTGCTGTTCTTCGGCTGGTTCTTCCCGAATACGTTGATTGACAGATGTCTCGTCTAGTCAGCGGTGAGTAATCCCAAACCAATGGCGCTGTCTCAAACTATACCTACCTCTTCCGGTTTGTCTGATTTGTCATTGTGTTTTCTGACTTGTTATAATGTTTTCTGAATTGTTGTTGTGTTTTCTGAATTGTTATTTTGTTTTTTAGACTTGCATTTGCGTTTGTAATTTGTTATTTTGTTTTCAGAATTGTGATTTGTTTTGCACTTCACGGCCACCGTAGGCATACATTTTGAATGACTACATTGTCAACTAACGAGATCTTTTAGATCCGTTATGGTGACAACATGTAAAGCACCTTGACCGAGTTAAACAAATTATAGGCCTAAATAAATACATTTGCATCACCATAATTTTACTAACAAATGAGAATAAGTTTGTTGGAGGCAGATTTACTAACTTACTAAAGCACGTTTTGAACGCTCGTAGAACACTTTAAATCAACTTACCTTTGTTTGTCTGATGCAAATCTGCTTCAGTTCATTCACACTTTACAGATGAAAGCGAAGCGCAGCACGCGTGTAGTCCCGCCCACGCGACTACGTCACATCGCGTTACTGGCGCACATCACATTGCAATCAGTAATGACGTCTTTGAAATCGCTTGATCGACTGATAACATTTTGAGAAGTGATGTATTTTCCGAAAAGGAACTCTTTTTAATTAATTAATTAATCAAACAACCAAACAAAAAAAATATTTTATTTTCTTCTCATCTTTAGCAAACCAATAAAACCA